AGTTTGAGACCAGCCTGGTCTAAAAGAGCTAGTTCCAGGACAGGCTCCAGAGCTACACAGAGAAACCAACCCTGCTTCAAAAAACAAACAAACAAACATCATTTTAAAGACAAGATCCCAGTTCTTCAGGAATTAAAGGACTAGTATCCAAGCAAGGGAACAAGTAAATTCTGAGATTTAAATAAGAAACCAAACATAAGAGAAAAAAAAAAGTTGCTGGCTGTGGTGGTGCACACCTTGAATCCCAGCACTGGGGAAGCAGAGGCCCAGCCCGGTCTGCACAGCAAGTTCCAGGACAGGCAGGGCTAAACCCTGCCTCAAAACAAACAAGTCTTCCTAAGTGGACTGTACTGCAGTTATGGGAGCTGCAAAGTGCTTTCTCTAGCTTCACCCTCTCAATTTTACACTAAATAAAATTTTCTGAAATAAACTAGACTGTGTGTGTAACCTTAAGCAAGCAGTTTCATCTCCCAGGACTTTACAGTTTATATTTGTATATATATTTGATATATATATATTTGATTGTATGTATATATGCATATATACATACATAACAAATAAGGATGTCCGTGTTTTCATTTATTTATTTATTTTGGTAAGGATAAAATATTATGCAAAGGGGCTGGGAACACAGCTCAGCGGGTGAGAGCTCTGGCTGCTGTTCCAGACGACCCCACTGGGTTCGATTCCCAGCTCCCACATGGCAATTTATGACCAGCATTCCAGTCCCAGATCTGACGACCTCTTCTGACCAACACAAGCACTGCACGGATGTGGCACACAGACAAAGCATGCTTACAAATTAAATAACAAACAGATGATAGACAGATAACGCTTTGGCTTATGACAAGGGTCAAATGCTGCATGCCAGGCTTCAGGGTTTGCGGAGGAGTTTTGGAAGAAGGTCGACAGGGCTGAAAAGTAAAAGCAAAGCGAGGGTGTGACATCCCGGACAGGGGCATCCCGGGGGCAGTGGCCCTTCCCGAGATCGAACTCACGCCTCCCTGCTCCGCACACGCTCTCGGGGCCTGTACCTTCTGAGGCTCCGGTGCCGCTCCTCCCAGTGGCTCCCGCGGCAACTTCCACTCCTCCGGGCGGCTCAAG